GCCCCCACAGTCTGGGTCCTCATTTTACCCACCTCAAAAGGATGGAAGGCTGAGTCAACCTTGAGCCGGTGAGATTTGAACCGCTGAACTGCAGAACTAGCAGTCAGCTGAAGTGGCCTGCAGTGCTGCATTTAACAACTGCGCCACCTCTGCTCCTGTCATGTTGTCATGCTGTCATGTGACCTTTAATGGATGAATAGAAATATATTCATTGATTTACATGAATGACACTTAAATTATAAATGTCATAGTGAAAGAACCAATTGCATTGAAATATACCACTTACAATCCATTTATATACATGGAAATAATTACAAGGTGAAAGTAGCAACCATATTTTGTAGAATTGGTTATTGCCCAAGTTAGACCAGCTGTGATCTGTTGTAGCTGAGTTTGTTGTTATCAGTGGTGAGTGCTGTAGAGTGCTTCTGTAGAAGTCAGAATAGGAAACAGCGATTCAACATTACTGTTTGTAAAGTACTCACGTTGAATTGTGAAATTACATTAGCATGACTGCCCTGGCATATCTCTGAACTGTGAGCGGCTGGCAGAAAAAGGTTTTGTTGAAGTTTCCAGCTCTAACTAGAAATTCAGTTTGGAATTTGATCACAAAATCCTTTCCTTAAGTTCTGCCACAATCTGGTCACAATTCAGAACTAGAAATATCCATGCGCCGTTTTGTCAACAGCATCCTGTTATCAACAGGTTCAGTAGCGAAAGATTTGTGTTTGTCTCCTTTCGAAAGATATTCTCCTATATTACACATTGCCCTCAGGCACTTGCATCGTATGAGTTCAAGCAGGCAACCATCCTTAGTGACTGTTATTTTGATAAAAATCTGCAAATTTTCAAGCAGAAGGAAGCAACGCATACCTTTTACCTTTTAAATATATGTTATGGAGTTCTTTATTAGTCTTTAAAATATTTATTATTAATATTATCATTAAACAGGTCCTGTTGTAGGAGAATTTCCAAGCCAAAATGACATAAGTCTAACACCAGCACCACCACTGCCGCAGGTAAAAAAAAAAGAGGATATTTTCATAACTATTTCTAAAAGAGAAATGCTCAAAATGCCGTCTGGTTTGTGCAGTTCTAAATAATGTTTGAATTATTAAACAGTTGCATTTCCTGAACTTCCGGTTTGCGTGTTGGATGGTTTTTCGCCCTCTAGAGCAGTGTTTCTCAACCTTGGCAACTTGAAGATNCCACCTCGGAAGGATGGAAGGCTGAGTCAACCCTGAGCCGGTGAGATTTGAACAGCCGAACTGCAGAACTGCAATCAGCTGAAGTAGCCTGCAGTGCTGCATTTAACCACTGCGCCACCTCGGCTCTTCCTAGGTCCACATTTACTAAACATACATTTTGTCTATTTAAAGCTGCTAATTAAGTATAATAAGGAGGTGCAGTGGCCTAGTGATTAAAACCTGGGCTTGTCAATGGGAAGGTCGGCAATTTGAGGCACAAATGACATTTAATGCCTGTCAACCTAGCAGATTGAAAGCATGCCAATGCAGGTAGATCACGTGATCACAGAAGTCTATTTGGACAACTCTGGCTCCCTCGGCTAAAAAAAACTGGAGATGAGCACTATCCCCTAGTGTCAGACACAACTGGACAGGGGGAATATTTACCTAATTAGATACATTACAGATTTAGTAAACTTGAATAGCCTGTGATCACAATAAATTGGCAGGTTAGTCCATTGGATAACGAAGAATTGGAACATGCATTCGCACAACCACCAATCATTTCTTAGATGGGGAGATTTCTTAAGCCATTCAGGAGTTGGAAAGTCAGATCAACTGTTTGATTTGAGATCAGATGAATAATTAGCACATAGTGCATGTCTTTTGACATCACAACATGGGATATTTCAAAGGAAGTTTATTTGCTTCTATTTTAAGGACTTGACCAGCATCACTTCCATCTTGTCTGTTTATGATCTCGGATTGTTTCATCCGCATTCAGCCAGTTGTCAAGTTCAGGAATATCATTTCCTTCCTTAGTATTGAATGACAAAAGACCGTCTATTAGTGATACTGTTTTCCAAAATCTAAAATGACTATTTTAACTGTTTCACATAGCTAACAAATAGCGTAGAAAATAAAACATAATAGTTTCAAATAAGTATTTAACAAGCATCTTTTGGATGTGATCAGACGCAGTACATTCAGAAAAATAGCAAAAAAAAAAAAAAAAACAACCATTATCAGTGGTAGTAAAAACACATTATTAACTGAAAGTCTAATTTGAAACATGTTCAGAATAGATGAAAGTCCACTTTCACCTTTACACATCTAGAATAGCAATGCTGCAGTACTCCATTTTTGTATTTTTCTATTCATGTATTGTCTTAATGGTACTCATAACAGGGAGTGCCACCTCTTTTTAACGTTGTGCCTTGAGACCCAGCATTGAGGTTCTATAGAATTGGGAATTATTTATATCACCTATTTTACTTCTAACGTTTTCTTCCAGCCCATTTGCTTACGTGGATCCCTTACATTGTAACATGGCCTATTTGTACCTTGAATTACTCAAAGACTCCCTCAACGAGTATGCATATGCAGCAGAACTAGCTGACTTGAACTATGGCCTCCAAAATACCATCTATGGGATGTATGTAAGTACAAACCTCAAGGAAGACTCTTAAGGGTCTTAAATTTACTTCCAGGAATCAAACAATTTGATTTGCTGGAAGCATTTTAAAAATGATTTTTTCCCAATTTTGCGGATCTAATTTTAAAATTCCCTTTTCAACCTTGACTTCTAATTTATCATAATTTGGATTTTACATGAAATATTCTTAAGTCTTCAAGATTCCCATTCATATTCAGATTCTTCATTTCATTTTATATCATTCATTAAATTAATGAAATTAAATGAAATTTAGCCCAAATTGGAGTTCAGATTCTACTACTTTCTTCCAGAAGTTAAATCGTTAATGTTAACAAGGAAATAAATGTCCTTGTTTTACATTAGTATTTCATTCCCAGAAATAATGGGTACGAGGCTGCATATACATACTCTTCAGTCATGTTTCTTCATCCATTATCATGTCACAAAGTATCAAAGCATCCTTTTTTTTCCCTTTTTGTTAGTCGCTACCTTTATGTTGACCCTCTCCATTGCAACATGACATACCTGTTAATGAGGTTGTTGAAGGATGATTTAAAAGAGTATACATATGCAGCACGCCTCTCAGGGTTGAGCTATTTCATTGTATCAGCCATGAATGCAATACTTGTAAGTAAGATGGAGGAGTAGAAAGAAGTGAGATGGCTTGAGAGTTATGCACTTGGAAAACGCTTGGTTTTTTTCAATATTTTTTGCATAACCAGTTCTGTATTCTCTTGCATCTCTCTTGTCTGGAAGCGTCTGGAAAAAGATGCTTGGTTTAGCTATGATTGCAGTGCTTTTTTGTGGCTACATAGTGCTTTGCAATACATTTCTAATTTGCATCCTTATGTATTTAATATCCTGGAAAGTCTCACTTTGACTTTTTAGAGTCTTTTAGACACTTTACATTAAAAATAAATAGCGGTGTTAGTCTAATATGCTTATTGAGGCACGAACATTTGCAGGAGAGAGTCCACTTTGTTAAACATTTCACTGAACTAAATACCACTAACTGCATTATTGGCTGTAGAAAAATTGCTCGTTTAGGGTAACTTGAGTATTATAAATTGAGCTTATTTATTTTTACAAATAAAAATTTATTATACAGCATATCATCAATTCCTGGGATTTTTGGTCAAATATAAAATATCTGTTTTAACATTTTAATTGTCACTTTAAAGAGTTTTAATGTTATCGTCTGAAGAAAAGATGTTTTGAAAGAAGTGTGTCTTGTATGAATATTGTATAATACGGAGTGCTAAAAATGGAGTAAAAAATTGGGTTCTCGGTACTCTTTGAGCTTAGTTATTTTCTTGCAGACATTTTATTTCCGGGCTAGGAAACGATACAAAGAAGAATGGAGTAGTATGCTGGCTGTTTGTAGCTTGCCCAGGCACTTTTCCTGGGGTGTATGATTTTTTTCTTTGATATTATTTCCTCCTTTACTGTTGATGTGGTGCTGTTTTCTGCTTATCTGCGTGTTGGTTGCTAGACAGCATGTGTTCTAGGCTGTTTGTGTCTGTTGAAGGCTGATATGGCTGAATACACAGTTTCCAAGATTACCTTCATTAAAGAGCAATCAAGGTGGAAGCATCCACTACAGATAGGGCAATATGCAATGTACATAAACAGCCAGCAAACCTACAAACCACTGGTGGTGTTTCCTAGCCTGGCAATAAAATATCTGGAAGGAAAAATACACCTCAGCGCCCAAAAAAATTAACTATTTGGCCTTGAGCTATAATAGTCTCTTCTGTTGTAACTAAAATACAATTTAAACAACATCTTAGTTTCAGTTTAAACTTGAAACGCTGTACCTAGCATGGCAACCTGCATTCTAAACTACTGTATTTTTGGAGTATAAGACGCACCGGAGTATAAGACGCACCAAGATTTTGAAGAGGTAAATTTTTTAAAAAGTTTTTGCACTCTGCAGCTCTCCCAAACCCTCTGCAGGCCCCATTTTTTGTGAAAAATGGGGCATGCAGAGAGTTTGAGAGGCCTGTAAAGTGCTCCTGGCGAATTGGTGGGGGAAGGGGGCAAAAATGAGCAAAAAATGGCCCGTTTTTCACGAAAATGGGCCCATTTTTTGCAAAAAAAATCAGGACATGCATAGGCTTTGGGAGGCTAGTAGAGTGCTCCTGGGGGCTGGGGGGGATGAGCAAAAAAACACCATTTTTGTTTGCTCATTTTTGCCCTCCCCAGTCCCCAAGAGCATTTTGCAGGCCTCCTAAACCATCTGCGTGCCTTTTTTTGCAAAAAACAGGATTTGTGGAGGCGGAGTTTCGGGAGGGCAAACATGCTGTATTCAGTGTATAAGACGCACGCACATTTTCCTTTGGGGGGGGGAAGGTGTGTCTTATACTCCAAACTACGGTATTTTGCTTCAGCAGTGTTACTGTATCCTATATTTTTGGATCACAAATGGATCAACAAAGATAAAAATGGTTCTTAATTCATCTACCATGTCATTTTCATTCTTGTATCATAATTATTCATTTTATAATGTTATATACAGAGACTGGAGCTATGTTCTATTAAAAGGTATACTTCAGTTTTTATGCTTAATTATTTCTGTATTACAATATAACACAGAATGTCCAACATACTAAAAGAAGGAAACATCCATTCTTCACATGTATGCAAACACTGCATTATTCAGAGTGATGAGTAACGATAATATATATTATTAACATAACTTTAAATGACAGTGTTAAAATATTTATATGGTTTACAGTTAATCATTTTATGAAGTACCGTAGTTTAGTAATCTGTCATATTCCCGAATTAAGTATTCTGATACTCTGCTTTACCTTAATAAAAACCTTGTGAACTGTTCTGTGTTAGAAACATTGAGTGGAAAGTTTTTCTTTTCTTTTCACCAGGTTCGCCTGGTGCGCCAGTTGCGACCCTACCTGAATCGGGAGGCTCTCACAACAGTCACTCGGGCCCTTGTGACCTCTAGGCTGGAATACTGCAATGTGCTCTACATGGGGCTGCCCTTGAAGAGCATCCGGCGACTTCAGCTAGTGCAGATCGCAGTTGCGCGAGTGATTGCGGGTGCACCTTGATTCACCCGCATAACACCTACCCTCCGCGAGCTGCCCTGGCTACCTGTCGATCTCCGGATGCGCTTCAAGGTGCTATTAGTCACCCATAAAGCCCTACATGTCAGTGTATCTGAAT